TGTCTGTCTGTCTGTCTATGTACAGCATGTGTGCAGGTGCCTATAGAAACCAGAAGAGAGCATCAGATCCTCCTGGAGCTGAAGTTTCAGTTTGTTGTGAACCACCCAATATGGGTGCTGGCTACTGAATACTGCCTGTCAGAGCAACAACCTCTTAGCCATTTCTGCAGCCCCAAAGAGCTTTCTTCTCCTCCTCCCTCTTCCCCTTCCTTCTTCTCTTCACCTCCTCCTCCTTCTTCCTCCTCCCCTCTCCTCCCTTTTTTCTTTTTTCTCTTCTTTTTTTTCTTGGCCTATATGGTTTTTTTTGGTTTTTTTTTTTTTTTTTGGAACAGAGTCTCCTTTAACCCAAGTTCATGAGACCTTGTATTCTAGAAGCTTGAAACGAGGCCACCTATTTTAAGTTTAAGAAAAACACACTACATGGTATGAAGTACAATGTGCTTTGTAGTTGTTGTTGACTTAGTGTGTCCCAGGCTGTCCTTAGTTTTCCTGTCTTCACCCCAAATGTTAAGATTATAAGTATATGCAGGGCAGTGGTGGCGCACACCTTTAATCCCAGCACTCGGGAGACAGAGGCAGGTGGATCTCTGTGAGTTTGAGGCCAGCCTGGTCTACAAGAGCTAGTTTCAGGACAGGCTCCAAAGCTGCAGAGAAACCCTGTCTTGAAAAACCAAAAAAGAAAAAAAAAATTATAAGTATATGCTACCATGCCCAGCCACAATATACTTCAAAAATTAAGAATATGTCAGTTTTGTAAATAAGAATACTAATTCATATATTATCTAAAAGTCACATGTTGATTTGACACCATGACTTTTGTAGTAGAGTGAATTTGTATAGCGTACCCCACTGTTCCTGCTTCTGAATTACACATTCATCAGGGAGGCTCAGTGTCTGAGAATTCTCTGTTGATCAGGGTGTTATGACAGCTCAAACTTGAACTTCCGTATAATTGACTTTTTCCCCTCCCATTTTAAAATTTAGAGAGCTTAAAGGACATGTGTACTATAATGGGTCACAGAAATGCTTAATGTATAATTAATACAAACTAAAAGTCAAGGTAGGAAACGTTGTGTCCACCTGTTTTTGTTGGTTTGGTTGATTGGTTGGTTTGGTTTTTCAAGGCAGGGTTTCTCTGTAGCATTGGAGCCTGTCCTGGAACTAGCTCTTGTAGACCAGGCTGGACTCAAACTCACAGAGATCCACCTGCCTCTGCCTCCCGAGTGCTGGGATTAAAGGTGTGTGCCACCACTGCCCAGATATATTTTAGTTTAAGACAACCTTGGCCTTGAAAATATTTTTTATTGTTTTATTATTTAAAAAAGCATTGGGAGCACATTGATTTCTTTTTTCTCTCCACAGCCTCTACAGAGGATAGAAAATGAAGTGGAACTCTTAGGAGAACATCTTCAAGTGGGCAGTTTTACTTATCCCCCCTCGGCCCATCCCCCAACATTACCTCCTTCAGCTCCTTTGCAGTTCCTGACCCATGACCCTCTGCATCAGGAGGTATCCTTCGGCGTAGTAAGTCTTCACACGCTGTTACATTCATTTATTTGCTCGAGAGCTTATTTTAGTTGTTTTAAGTGTAACTCTGAAAATGTTCAGAGCTCATGTATTCTGAAAATCACATGCGTATGTATTTTATCCTTGGCTGTTTTAGCTATATTATCATGAAAGAATTAGTTAATGCCACCTGAATAGTAAGATTTTTAAAAATCAAACAAGTGGCAGTCAGGCCTGGTGGCATAGGCCTATAATCCCAGCACTGAGGAGGAGGTAGAAGCAGGGAGATTATTTGCAAATTCAAGGCCATCTTTGTCTGCAAGGCAAGTTCCTGGCCAGTCCAAGCTAGGTAGCAAGACCCTATCTTAAAAAAACAAGTTGGGAAACTGAATGTTCTGGTGCACACCTTTAGTCCTTGCACTTGGGTGGAAGAGGCAGCTATATCTCTGTGAGTTGGAGGTCAGCCCAGGACAACTAGTGCTATGTAGAGAAACTTTGTCTCAAAAAAACAAAAAACGAAAAACACCAAGTGGGGACTAGTGAGGTAGCTCAGAGGGGAAGAGCACTTGCCATTTAAGTTCAATAAATAAATTATTTGACATAGTTTGCAAACATAGAATGATCATTCTCAACCTTTGTCTCCTACAGCCTTATCCTCCATTCATGCCTCGGAGACTCACAGGGCGTAGTAGATACCGATCCCAGCAGCCAGTACCACCTCCCCCTTACCATCCAAGCTTACTGCCTTATGTGTTGTAAGTTCCTTCTGCTTATTCTCTTGAGAGTCCTTTATGAGTGCCTTCTCTGTGGCATGTGACTCAGTATGTGTCAAAACATGTTAAGTGGTTATGGGGTTACAGATCCAATTAAGGAAGAAACAGGGGAGGAAAAAAAACAAGACAAATTGTTTAGCGAATTATAAGATAGAAAAATTTAAGTATTTGCCACTTATACAATTAGGATCACTTTTTAAAGATTTCAGTTTGTGCCTTTTGCCTCTTAAGTGTGTATTGTATACCATGTGTGCATGCAGTACCTATAGATGCCAGAAGAGGGCATTGAATCCCTGAAACTGGAGTTAGAGATGGTTGTGAGCAACTATATGGGTAGTGGGAACTGAACCCAAATTCTCTGCAAGAACAGCAAATACTCTTAACTGCTGAGCCATCTTTTTAGCCCTGGAGTCACTTCAAAACAGACAAAACCCGTTTTTATATTTGTCATGCATGATGTAGGGGAGCACATGCATGCTACTGCTTGTGTGTGAAGGTCAGATGATACCTTGGAAAGGTCTGTTCCTCTACCATGTGAACTCTAGGGATCAAACTCGTGATCAGGAGTGCTGGGAGGACTTTTACTGAACTATCTCTCTTAGGCCCTAGGATCACTTTTGATTATCCAGCTTTTATGGTATTTTTTTTTTTTTTTTGAAAAGACAAGAAGTCATTTTTGCATTTTAGAACTAGACTGTTGGGATTAAGTTTACTTGTAATGAACATTGCGGTTTAAATGTGATAGTTTTTAATTTCCTTCTGACATAGCGAGATGTAGTAGACCAAGTCTAGAGTGTTTTGTTAGCATTGTGTCTATGAGAATGGATTCTTCTGTCCTTGGGTGTGCTCATGACCCTCCTGCTCCAGCAACCATGTCAGGAGTGGGAATCTGAGTGTGGGGTACACTGTCATCTCAGGAGTCCTGTCCTTAAGTTCAATGCCAGTCTGCTAGGCAGCAAAAGTACCATGCCAGGCAGGGTTATATAGCACGACCCCATCTCAAAGAAACAAAAGTTTAAAAAGAAAAGAAAGAGATTCCTCTGCCTACTGCTTCTCTGGACAACATTTCCCAGAATGAAACACATTACTATTACTGATACCTCATTGGCTGGGACTTGGTCACATGTCTACACTTACTTTCTAAAACAAATATCTTAGCTCAAAGGTGATCTTTAAACTATGTTATTTTTCTGGTAATTTTAGTTCCCTCACTCCACCTCTCTTGTCTGTTTGTCTTAAAATAAGGTAATATAACCTCCGAGCTTAGCTGAAAAGTGTTTAATTTAATTCTGCATTTTCAGATAAATTATAAAATCAGCATCCATTTTGCATTAAAAGACATAAAAAACTTAATGAGGTTTTGTATTAAATCTATAGATTAATATGGTGGAATAGTGATAACTATTGATTTTTCTAGTCTACTTATATTTTACTGTTTATCCTAGCAGTTTTATATAGGCCTTACATGTTTTACTAAGCCTATCCCTACATTATTGCATTTATTAAGTGTCAGTATGTGCACGTATGCCTGTGTACACATTGCAGACTTTGGCCCACTTGTGGGAGTCAGTTGGGTTTTCTCTCTCCACCATGTGGGTTCTGGGGATCAAGTTCAGATTATCAGGCTTAAACAGAGCTCCTTTACCTGCTGAGCCATCGCTGGCCTTCACATTTGTCTTGTGCTATTGTAAATGGCATGTCCTGCTCCTAGTAAAGCCAGTGCCCTTAAAGGGTTGCCGCTAGTAAACACTGACCGTTCTTCATCTATGTAATCTGACCTTTGTCCTCTGCCGTTTGTATTCATGTACTAACATACAAACACTTCCTTGGTGGTTTTCTTTGTAGATCAATGCTTCCAGTACCACCTGCTGTGGGCCCAACTTTCAGCTTTGAATTGGATGTAGAAGATGGAGAAGTAGAAAATTACGAGGTTAGTAGAGGAAGTGTGAATTTATTTAGGGAGTATTGTGTAATGTCCTATATTTTCCTATAGGCATTTATTAGATTAACTTTGCATTTTAAGATACAAATAAAATTTATAATTCATAAAATTGTTTAGCATCCCTAGGATTTCCCATATACCTATTATAGTAAGTAGACTAGTTCTATTCTAGTTCAGTTCCAGAGAGAATACAAATGATGAGGAAGTGGTGGGTTTTGATTAGGTGTTCAGAAAAGATTTGTGGAAGCAAAGATGTTTAGAAAGGTGTTTTATTTTATTTTTGCATAAGGTTGAGGGAGCTACATTGTGGTACATAGCATATTGTGTGCGGCTCACGTGGAAGGAGGGTGGACCTGGCGGGTGACTCGTGCCTGCGATGCTGCACTCGAGTGTGAGGCTTAGCCCAGGGTACATAGTAAAGACCTTGTCTTAAAAAAAGAAAGGGAGAAAATGGAGATTTGAGGCATGATATTGGGATTGGTGCTTAATAGTCTGAGTTGGGAGGACCCTGAGTTCAGGATTAGCCTGAGCTATATGGCAAGACACATGTCTTTGTAAAAAAAGGTAACCTAGTTATAGGTTAAAGCAGATAAGTAATGAGCCATTAAAAATCCAGGAAGAATGAGATACTAGTGTAAAATCAATAAACATAATTGTAACATCCTAAGATGCATCAAATGTTTTAAATATGAATTTATGTTAAATACTTGTAAAAACCCAATTCATTCATAAGTCTTTTTTATCTTTCCTTTTCTTTATATACTACTGGGAACAGTTTGGTGTGGGGGAAGTTTCTCACCAGAAAATTTCTTTGAATAATGGTGGAATTAGTATCATTTTGCCAACCTTGAATTAATGGCACCACACGATCCTGAGTCCCTAGTGATTTAATAGTAGACACAGTGGGCCTGATGAACACAGAGAAGATCAGATATTTCAGTGCACAGAAAGTGTAGTGGGCGAAAAATGTACTGAACCAGATAGGTCAGGAATGGAAAGTTAGTAGATCACATTGGGAATGTCTGTATTTTTGATTGTTTTTATTTCGAGACAGGTTCCCCATGCTGACCTTTCCTTGTTATATAGCCTTGAACTTCTATTCCCTCAGCTGCCTTTCAAGTGCTGCTGTAAATGGTTCTACCATGTTTTTACAAGACTTGACATATGAAACCATGGTAGCGTTGGATCCTAATTTGAATAAAATACTTGTTTTGAAAATAATTAGCAGTATTTGAACATTAATTGGGTATTGTTAAATTTTTTGACACGATGCCATTATTGTGTATTTTGTTTAATTTTTTTATGGGTATAGATGTTTTGCTTGCGTGTGTGTTTGTGTGCCATGTATGTGCCTGATGCCCTTGGAGTCCAGGAGGGTGTCAGATGGTTGTGAACCCCATGTGGGTGCTGGGAATTGAAATAGGATCCTCTGGAAGAGAAGCCAGTGCTCTTAACTGCTGAGCCATTATCTTATTTAGGTTTTCAAATGAAGAGACACCAGGACCATGGCAACTTTTATAAAGAAAAACACTTAATTTGGGTAGCTTACAGTTTTAAGATTTAGTCCATTATCATCATGGTGGGGCGTGGTGGTATGTAGGCTGGCATGGTGCTGGAGAAGGAGCTGAGAGTTTTACATCTTGATCAGCAGGTAACAAGAAGCAAATTGAGTTCTACTCTGGGTGTAGCTTGAGCATAGGAGCCTGCCCTACAGTGACACAAGGCCATACCTGTCAACAGTGCCACTCCCTATGGGCTCATAGGGGCCAATTACATTCAAACCACCACAGCCATCTCTTCAGCCCTATTGTGTTCTTTTGAAAAGTCTTATCTTTAATAAGTTATGTAGTAGATGTAATCCACCTCCCTGATGCTCATTTTGCAGGTGTTAAAGTAATTCATACAGTTCAGTCATATCTAAACTAATGTCTTTAAAACTATTGTTTGTGTCTATGTCTGTTTATATGTCTGTCAGGGTGTGCGCCTTTGCCGTGACATGAAGTAATTTGTGGGAGTTGGTTCTCCTGTCTTGAGGTGAATTAAGCCAAGGTTGTCAGGTTTAGTGGCAAGTGCTTTTACCTGTTGAGTCAGAGACATTTTGATTAGAGCAGCTGATCTGTTGCATATTCATCTCTGTACTGTATTAGAATTGGATATGTTTTTGGTAAAAAAAACATCCCATAATTCTTGTGAAATTAATTTTTACTCCCATGGTGACTGTACCCTTACTCCCCTGAAAAATACCACTTAAAACAGATCCAGGAGAGATTGACTAGACATGACAGTTCTTTTGGTCATAGAAAGATTTACTGAAAGCAAATGTGAAAAATCTTAAAAGTCAGGGTGCAGTCTCAGAGAAATATGAAAGGAGTCAAGTTAAGGTTGTTATCCTAGGAACCTCACTCAGTTCTAGCCTAAGTAAAGTTTTTTTTTTTTTTTATAAAATAAAAGACTTAAGTTATGGACAGAGACTGCACTTTTGTTTCTCAGCTACTCAGATCCAAATAATCACACAGAAACTATATATTAATTACAACGCTGTTTGGCCAATGGCTCAGGCGTGTTTCTAGCTAACTCTTACATCTTAAACTAACCCATTTCAATTATGTTGTATTTTACCATGAGGCTTATGGTTTGTTACCTTACATCTTACTTCTTTGGCGGCTACGTGGCGTCTACCTTCTTTCTCCCTTCATTCAGTTTAGTTTTCCCGCCTAGCTATATTCTGCCCTGTCATAGGTCATAGCAGCTTCTTTATTAACCAGTAGAAATAAAACATATTCACAGCATGCAGAGGGGCATCCCACACCAGCAAGTGCTGGGCATGTTGCCCTCACACCAGTAATCCTACCCCTTGAGAGCTTGAAACAGGAGTGTTGCCATGAGCTTGGAGCTAACCTGAGCTACATTCTAAGTTCCAAGACAGCTTAGGCTACAAAGAGATCTTGTTTTAAGGAAAAAAAATTAAATTAAAAAAAAGAAGTTGCTCCATTGGATGGCCAAAGAGATGGCTCAATGGGTAAACGCTCTTGCCACTAAACCTCGATGACCTGAGTTCAGTCCCTGGGACCCACCCACCTGGTGCAAAGAGAATTGATTCCCCTCACCACACACACACACTGTCCTCTGACCTCTACATGTGCGTGTACACGTGCACATATATGAGTAATTAAACTATTATATTACTCCAGTAGAAAATGTAAAGAAAGATGAAAATCTGTCTCCTTTCCCTTCCCGTAGGCCCTGCTGAACCTGGCAGAAAGACTGGGAGAGGCGAAGCCTCGGGGACTGACTAAAGCAGATATTGAACAGCTTCCCTCCTACAGGTTCAACCCTAACAACCACCAGTCGGAGCAGACTTTGTAAGTGTGTTTCTTAGTCACCATAGCAGGGGTCTGCCGTTAGGAGGTTTAAATACGGAATGGGCTGAAGTTCATCAAGTTCAGCTGTTTAGTGTGTTTAGCGTGTTTGTAAAGTTGTACAACCATCACCACAGATGTAGACCGTTTCATTGCTGCACAGAGTGGTTTCTTCTCTCTTGCTAGTAGCTAACTCCCTGTGTCTTCTCGACCCTCCTTCTTCATGCTTTATCTCCTGCCTCTCAATGTCACACGTCTAGACTCCTGTAATACAGTGCTTCTCAACCTCATGTTATGGTGGCCCCCAACCCTATTATTTTCTTGCTACTTCATAACTATAATTTTGCTACTGTTGTGAATTGTAAATATCTAATATGCAGGATATCTGATATGTGACCCCTGTGAAAGGGTTGTTTGATGCACACCACCCTCCAGAGGTCACAATCCACAGTTTGAAAAAACAGTGCTATAATATCGTAGTCTTTAGTCTGCCCAGAAAGTCAACATAGCATAACTTTTTTTCAGGTCCAGGTAGCAGCTTGTATCAAACATTCATTTTTATGGCTAAAAATACTCCATGGTATAGATATACTATTTTATCCCTTCTTTAGTTGATGGACATTTGGGTTGTTTTCACTGAGTTTTTTTTAGATTTATTTTTTGCATGAGTGCTCAGTATGAACACCTGCACGCCAGAAGAGGGCATCAGATCCTATTACAGATGGTCGAGAGCCACCATGTGGGTGCTGGGAATTAAACTCAGGACCTCTGGAAGAATAGCTAGTGTTCTTCACTGCTAAGCCATCTTTCCAGCCCCTACTGCTTGACTCTAACAAATAATGCTTTATTATATACTTTATTTATATGTATATTATAAACTTTATATACTCTTTGATCACAAAAATTTACTGTTTTTCCCCTTAATCTAGAATTTTGATCCATTGTTTTTAGATAAATTATTTTTGCATACGTATGTGTTTGTTGTATGTGTGCAGGTACACATGCGTGTGTGTGCCCATAGAGGTCAGAAGTTGACATCAGGTCTTTTTAACCATTCTCCGCTTTAAGGCAGGGAATCTCACTAGTTCACTCAACCTCCTTGATTCACTAGCCAGCTTGTCTCAGAGAAAAACAATTAACACTGAACCGTCTCTCCAGCTCCTTAACCAGAGATGTCTTGACAATCTGTTAGTAAAGAACCCTAAGTAAATCTACCTTAGCATCCTCATTTTCAGGAATAGTGGTAATTTTAAAAAATAAATAATATTTTGATAACCGCAAATGACTTTGTAATTGTAATAGTCATAACAAATAGAAAACCGAAAATGTGCTCTTTTCCAGGTGTGTAGTATGCATGTGTGATTTTGAGTCGAGGCAGCTTCTTAGAGTCTTACCCTGTAACCACGAGTTCCATGCCAAGTGTGTCGATAAATGGCTGAAGGTAAAGTGACCATGAGTACAGAGAAAGCACTTTTCATACTCTTAATTTATGTGAATAAAATACACATAATTTAAATAGTCCAGTTTGAATTTTTTGTAGAATGTGCTAATTAAGCAGTTTAGTAACTAATAAAGAAATCAGTTAAGGAGAACTGGTGTCTGGTCATACTGTAATCCTAGCACATGAAGAGAGGCTAAGGCAGGAAAGTGAGGTCTAATGAAGAAGAGAAGGAATGAACAAACTAAATCATGAAATGAAGAATATGAACTTTTTAGGAAAAATAAAACAGAAACATGGCTTGTGCAAAGCCCTAATGTGTGAAGAGGGAATAGTCAAGGAACCACAAGTCCCTGCAACTAAGGACAAGAGTGAGGGCGTGTGAGGGGAGAGGTGCACAAAGGGAGGGCTTAGAATGTACGCAGTTATTGCAAAGCCATTCTAAAGCATGCGTGAGTTTAGACTTGATTCTGAAAGCGAAGGGAAGGGTGTGGCTACAGTCGTGTTTTAAAAACCTCATTGGCCACTGTTTAGAGACAGACAGGAATGAGACAGGAAGGATGGTTGTTGAGGGAAGAAGATGGAGTAGGTTAAGGGTGAGCCAGTCATACTATGTTGTGACAATCAGATGACAGGATCGCTCTCTCTGAGCTCCATCCCTCGTGATGTGTGATGTGGCGGGTTTGGTGAGTGATGGAGTGTAGAGGTAAGACAGTAAATAAGTGGTCATTATGTTTCCCTGTCTGTGGAGATAGAGAAAAACCTGCTTTAGGAGCCAAGGAAAGGAGTGAGTGGAACCATGTGTGTATGACCTTATCCTGTTTATCCCAGCTCTCAAGAGGCAAAGGCAGGTGAATGTCCTTGAGTTGAGGTTAGCCTGATCTACAGGACAAGTTCCAGGAGAGCTAGAGCTACAAAATAAACCCTGCCTCAAAAAAAAAAAAAAGTAAAGGAAGGCTAGGGCCGGGCTCTTGGGATATTCCTACTGTCCTAGCACTCAAGAGGAGGTAGGAACGGTAGAATGAGAAGTTGAGTGCCCAAAGTCCTGTTTCAAAAAAAGATCTAGAATAGTGTGTTTGACACCTTGGATTTAATCCCCAGCTCCACCTATGTTGTTCTTGGGGTGGGGTTGGAGGGGAGGCAGAGCAAGGTTTTGATTTTAAGTTATTTACTAAGTTTTTTCCAGACTAGCAGTAGATAGCAAGTCTTGTTTACGAGTTTAACAAAGTCAATCTTGAGATTTGTGTAGGTTGTCTTGCTTTGTTTTGTTTTTTATTGTGTTGTTTTATTTTTAAAAAAGGGTCTCATGTAGCTTAGGCTGGCTTGAAACTCTTAATCCTCCTGCCTCTACCTACAAGTGTTAGGGTAGCAGGTTTGCACAGCCACCCTGGTTTAGAATTGGTTTGTTTTTAAGGGATCAGAATACAAAGATCTTACGGGATTATCGGTAGACCTGGGTACTTCACTAGTGAGTATGAGATGCAACTCCAGTGAGCTTCCTCTTGTTTTTCAGGGAAATCGTACTTGCCCAATTTGCCGAGCTGATGCTTCAGAAGTACATCGGGATTCAGAGTGACCAGCCTACGAGCACAGATTTAGTTTGGGTGTTCCTCATCACGTGTATATATGGACTATCCATTGAACTTAACCTGTGTGGCTTCCAGCCCTCCCTTTACCAAAAGGGTCAATGGACCTTTCTTTGCACTGTGTGACTTAATCAACTATAAAAGCTTACAATTAGTCTTCACAATTATGGGATTGTTATACTAACTGTGTGATTGGAACTCCAAAGATCTTTTCTTTAGCTTAATTTCGTGTGTGCACTAACATTCCCTGGTTTTTGTGTGATCATTCCGAGTGTTGCTGCAAGATTACAGTGGACGTGATCTTTTAGCATGTGCTTTTATAAAAAGTGGTAGCTCCAGATGATATAGCAATCTACCTTATATAGAGCCTTCAGAAACTGTGAGTGGAAGTGAGTGCAGCGTGTGAACTGTGTGAGAGAGCGTGTGCAACTACATGTGTGGGGGCATGGTAGCTACTGTGTGTATGAGATCCTATATACCAGCATGTACCAAGAATGTGTGTGTAGTTTTAATTATGCTGCAATGTATAATCTGGTGTGTTATTTAAACAGCACTAGTACTGTACACTGGTTTTCCCCTTGTGTTTGCTGTTGCACACTGATTGCTAAGGGTGCATCAATTCTAAGCATTGAATACTTCGTCCCCTTCCCTCCCAAGGAATGGAATGAGAAAAGCCTTCTTCCTTTGCTTCAGGCAGCTGTCCCCTTCTCTTCCTCTGTGATCCTAAGTGGGTCACTTAAGAAAAAATGTCAGATTCTCACTCCATGACCTGATTTTTTTTTCTTCAATTCTGTTGTAAAAGAAACTTTTAAGTCTCCAACTTGCTATTTCCAAAAAGAAGGTGCAATATCACGATCCTCATTAGCAATATCGGCATTTCAGTCGGAGATCTGAGTGTTTCTACTTCTTGTTTCTCCTTTACATTTCCAGTAGCGTTTTACAGAAAGGACCTGTGATTTTATTCATGTGTAGATTTGTAGTCTGTTTCGAAGATGTTTGAGTAATATATTTTTAAGAACACCACTGGTCCCATAAGTATCGCCTTCTTGACTTCCTGTAGAACAAAATCTGTTATCTAACTCAGCCTGGTTTCTGGTGTGTGTTCTTCGCTCAGGCCTCCATGGGTAACTAAATTGTTTTAAGAGAGCTATTTCTGTTGGTGTTAATTGAATTCCCACACTCTGGTCCTGAAGTTCTCTAGTTCTTTCCTCAGTAAACATTCTCGTCGAAACCTTTGTTTCAGGATGATAGAGTGCTGTGACAGCTCCCTTCTTAGGTCTGGTTTGCTTTGATGTCTTACTCTTTCTCTTTTATGTCAGAATGAGAAAAAGCTTAATACAATAGGTGCCCAGAATACTTGCAGTGTAAATGAAGATTGGATTTTGTATAAAAAATAATAATGCTGTCAAACAGGAATTGACCTTTATTTAATCGGAAATGATACATAGCCGTGTAAAACAAGACAGATTGATTGACCATAAATCAGGTTGGAAGTCACTTTTCAGCAGTTGGATTCCTTCCTCCTTCTCTCAGTGTGCTCAGCCTTGTCTGCCTCTTTGTGAGTTCTCGGCTTCTGTCTGCAGCCAAGCGTGCTGCAGCCTTCCGGTCACAACTGTGACACTTTGTTGCCAACCTCACTCAACTCGCAATTGGCACTGGGCCTTTTTTTTTTTTTTTACTCTGACAGGGAGTGTGTTCAACTACTTGCTACTGCCGTGTTCTTTACCCTCCCTTGTCTCTAAGCTCACCACAGCCTAGAGTTCAGGAAAGTCAATCCACACAGAAGCACAATTTTGTCTTCTTCAGACACTGTTGCCTCTCTAGTCAGACAATAGGATTGGACCTATTTTCTGTTTGCCCTAAACTAAGTGTGTCAGAAATACACTGAAATAGTGGTGAATGCACGTGTTACTTTTAAATCGTTAGGATACCCCTCCCGTTCCTAATGATGAAAAGGTGTGTTAAAGTCAAAATTAATGGCTTATAATAGTCATCTCCAAATCACATGCAGTTTAATCTTTATTTTTTAATTTAAAGAAATCATGTTTAAAATGACAAAAGTCCATATTATATATACACTTTTATATAGCTGCAAAAACTTTATACCTGTACAGCTCTCCCATGGCTCCACTCAGTGTTTGTTTTCCTGGTGCACACAGGTGAAGCACTTTCCTCGTTTCTACAGAGATACTGACTACCAAGGCACACTGTGCTAAGACCGGAAAGCAGCCTTTCCTTATTCTGTCGATATTTGCCATGACGTTCCCTTCCCAGTAGATTTTTTTTTTTTTTTTTAATATAAGTAGTTGGCAATTTAGGAGGCAGCAGGTCTGTCCTGGTAAAATTGTGTTTTGCAGTTATGACTGCTGTCTCCATGGGGTGTCTTCTCTTAGCACAGAACTGTTAGAGAAGGATCAGACTTTTGTTCATGGTGTGGTTGGTGTATTTTAGGAGCAGACCTGGCGTGATCTCTGTGGCCAGAAAATGAGAAAGTGCGGTTGGCTTCTGCCTAACTGTCATCTCTGGGAGATGCACTGGGTGGCAGATGGATGTTGGTAGCCTTCATCCTCTTCCTCCTAGAACAATGTTGGCTTTACCGTCTTAACTCAGCTGTGGAGTTTTGTTGTTGTTTGTTGGTTGGTTGGTAGGTTTTAGATTTGGGGTTTGGGCGTTTTGGTTTGTGTGGGTTTTTTTTTTTTTTTTTTTTTTTATAAATCACCATATTTTGTATTTTCAACTCCAACCTCAACAAAACAACTCAAGGCCTCTAAGTATCAAGATACCATACTAATATTTTCCTGTCCTGAATTTTTTTTTTTTAGCAGAATCTGAAATTGTGAAAGCATATTAGATTTTCTACACTCCCTGAACTTTAATTTGGTAGAATTCTTAATCTGGGCCTCTTGTGGTAATTTCCAGTGTGATCTGCCTGCCAGCTTCCGAGAACACTTTCACAGTATCTCTGGCCCTTCTCGAGTCTGCTCCCCATAGTGCATCTGGTTACCTCATGTTGCTGTTTGTTTAAGATTATGAAAACTCACGGGGTGTTTGTTGGAATCATTTGCTGAGTCATTTCCTCAAATCATATTCCATTGTACCAGTTAACATATAGTTTTAAATGTATGTATTATAAATATCTGTAACCAAATCATTTGAAGGCTTGATAAATTTTTAACAAAGTTTGTACATTTTTTATGAAAGTTACTAGTAATGCTTTACTAAGTAGTGCAATGAATTTTTATTTTTAATCCCTGTGCCCAATTTTGGAGTTGAGAGGGTTGTTGGTAATAAATGTATGATGTACACTTAAAATATCTGTTGTGTTTCATGTTAGGTATGTTTTAGGAGCTGTGTTTACAAAGGGGGGTGTGTGATAGGGTACAGCAAGGTGGTAGAGCCGGCTTGGTGCTCACCGCTGAGCCTGGTCTTTAAAGTATAGTCTTGGTGTTGGTTTAAACAACTGGAGTTACAAAACGAGCATGGTAACATAGGTATCTACTTGTTTCCTTAAAAGACCAAGCAATCAGCAGAAAATGTAGCTCAGGTGGGTCCATGCATATCTGACAAGCTGCAGGTACAGGAGACTTAACCATCTCTTCTCTGTGTCTCTGTGCAGCACCCTCCCCATGAACCATAAGATAGAGAAAACAGCGGTGTGGCTGGGAGAGCAAGGGCATATCAGGGACAGTTTTCAGCCAAGTCACTGTGAGCGTAATGAGGGGAAAGGACCCCTGTTCATTGTCATACACGGTGACTTAAAATGTAAGGAATCTGCTGACCGATTTACTTGAGAAGGTGTCTGATACCCCACCAGCAAAAGCATTCAGAAATCCTGAGTTATAAGCCATAACCTGAAAAAATGGCTGTTCTAAAAAGCCATGGGCTCCTCAGCAAATATTCTTTCAATAGGAGTGGAAGTATCGGTGCTGATGCTCTAAGGGCCTCGTCTTTGCCAAGAGTTTACAGTGCTCTCCTGAGTTGGCTTTGGTGATATCACAGGCATCTCAAATGTGCCCACAGACTTCACTGGCTACAATGTTTAACAGAGCAGAAGCTTCTATTTACACTACAGAGTAAGATTTCTGAAAGGTGTGGTCAGGTCACACCTGTCTGAAGTGTAGTCGTGTAAGACAGTTTAGTGGCCACGTATAAAAGCAGAAGAATTGGCCAGGTAGAGTGCTTCCTTAGTCTGGCTTCAGTCCCTGACTGGAAGAAAAAAAATGTTATTCAACCCAGCATACATCTTTCAGTATATATGCTTTTGACCCCAGCACTTGAGGCCAGCCTGGTCTACAGAGTTATTTCCAGGTCAGACTCCAACAGAAAAAAAAAAATCTTTTGTATTTTCTCAGATCCTGTATATTAAAGCACATCTAATTTAAACTGGCCACATTGTAAATATTCAGTAACCCATGGAAGTGGCTGCCATACTAGATGACTCAGATCTAGACCACTGTGCTGTATTATCTGGTTTCCAGGAACTGCAGGTTAAAACGGGTAGAGTTTGCTTGTAATCCTGACACATGCTGGAAGGTTTAAGGTTGTATTTAGGGGAATGCACTTTAAATGGACCTTACAGAGGACAACTTTGGATGTTACTCGGTGTTCCTCTTGTTCTTTGAGACGGGGTCTCTCACTGGCCTGGAGCTTGCTGAGCAGGCTAGGCTGACTGACCTGTGAGCCCCAGAGGTCCTTTTGTTGCCTCCTCCTTAGCACTGGGATTACAAGTGTGTGCCACCATTCCCAGCTCTGTTTTTGTTTTGTTTTGTTTTGTTTTAATGTGGGTTCTGGGAATCAGACTTTGGGTCCTTGTGCTTGCAACACTTAACTGACTGGCTATCTCCCCTTGCTGTTAACAGAGTAAATTATATTTATTGTTAGACAATTTTATACATGTAAGCAATGTATATTGGTCATATGCATTCCCAGTTTGCCCCTCCCATTCCCCCAGGCATCTTCAACATGTCTCTGGTCCCCATTTTTGTAACTGTGATAGCTGTTCTTGGTTGTCATCTTGACTGCATCTGCAGCTAACAAGCCCAAACATCTGTGTGCATCTGTGTGGGATCTTCTTCTTGATTGTGTCATTAGAAGTAGGAGAAACCACTTTCAATGCCTATCTTTTGAAGTGGGAAGATCCACCTTTAATCTGGGAGGACGTTCTTGCTCTTGATGACAAGTCCATTCCTTCGCTGGATCAAAGCCTACTACTTCAAGATTCCAGTGTATACTGAAGACCAGCTGAGACATCCAACCTCGTGTATTGAAGAAACTCCTGGATTCTTTGACCTTCCGTTTTGGGTAGACAGCCACTGTTGGACTAGCTGGACCACAGCCTGTAAAGCATTCTAATAAATTGCCTTAATATCTTTTCTACAAATTCTGTTTCTCTAGAGAACCCTGACTGATAGCACTCATTGAGTCCAATTAGTTGCTGCCTGTTGGAATATTGGCCAATCTTGGCTTGGTTTTTGTACAGGTAACCACGGCTGCAGTGAGCTCTGCCATGTCCTGTCCAGAAGACAGCATTTCTCAGTAACTGTTAGATTCTTCTTCCTCATTCTGAGCCTTTGGGAAGAGAAGGGTGCAGAACCAAACTTCTAAGTTTTATCATTCTTAAATTATATATCATGCCTTAAATTATAGTCAGATTAAAAAGCACTTCACTTTGAATAGCTAATGTAATTTGTTATGGTGTAAAGATTCACTTGAAAAGCAGGTTTAGTTGCTATGAACAATATGCTGCCCTGGTACAATTCAGGAACCAAGTTCCTAGGCTTGGGACTATAGCTCAGGTGGTAGGGAACCTGCCTAGCATCACACAGACTGAGTATGGTGGTACCTGTCTACAGTCCCAGCACTTGGAAGCAAGAGGACTAGGAGTTCGGGATAGCCTTGACTACATATGAGTTCAAACTGTGTCAAAAGATCCCAGCCATGTTTGCTTAACGCCTTTAGAATCCTCAACTATTTAAATAGATATGTGAGAGAAATAAATGGTGGTCAGGGCTAGAGAGATGATTCTGCTCTTACAGGAGGCCTGGGTTTGGCTCACTCACCCAGCAGCTCACAAGTGTCTTAATTCCAGCTCCACGGCACCCAGTACCCTCTTCTGTCCTCTGGCATCTACACTCTGTGCTCACGCACACAGAGATCAAATTGGGTTTTGTATTTTGGTTTTTGTTTTCATCTGAGCAGCCCTAACATTGGCCATTCTGAAGAACCTGAGAGTGGTTAGCTTTTAACCTACTTTCAGATGATGGGCTGGATTCTTACTAAGATTACAGTACAGTGTACGCGCACCTAACTTCTTGCATGGTTCTCTGCTTCCCAAAATAGCAGGAAATTCAGGAATAAAAGTCTAGTAGCTGTGGTATAGCACTTGGTTAGCATGTTCAATTCCATGAGATGGATCACCAGCACCACCAAAATATAAAACCATATCAAGCCTTTGGTTCTTGGCCTACTATGAAAACAAGGTAAGATGATATGGTGGTTGTAAGTGGAAATAGAACTTAAACATTGTAGTTGTCTCTGCTGATTTTGGATACTAATAGCACATTGCTGCTACATCAATGAAACCATCCTGCCAAAATTGAGCTAGCCTAACAAAAGAGAAATGTATTATCTTTCACAATTGAGCCTTAGAAAGCCCTAGTGTGGTCACTGACACAGATGGAAATGGATTGGCTATGCTAGTTTCAGAAGCCCAGAAGGAAATGGGTTTCTAGGTCCCAAATGCCAAATTCTACTTGGGGAAGACAAGCCAGAAAGAAGAAAAATCACTTGACCCTAGGCCTTCTGAGGCAGCCTGGGCAGTATAGAGTATAACAAGGTACCCCCATCTCATTAAAAAGCATTGAGGTAGTTCAACAGGTATAAAAAGTGCTTACAGCCCTACAACCTGTGATTGATACCCAAATCCACCTAAAAGTAAAAAGAGAATCAGCCCCACAAAGTTGTCATCTGACCGCATATGTGCCTGTGCATATGTATGCACAGATAATATACATAATAAAGTAATTGAAAATAATTGGTTGTTTGGGTGTGGTAGTACATGCCTATAATTCCAGCACCCATAATCATCTCAGTAGGATTATAAATTGAAGAGGCAGCCTGGCCTACGCAGACAGACCCTGTGTCAAATCAGTAGGTGCAAAAGCCTTTAATCCCAGCACTCATGCGAGCCTGGTCTACCTAGTAAGTTCTAGACCAGCCAGGGCTTCAAAGTGAGACCCTGTCAAAAAAACAAAAATCAAAATTGGGGAGCAGACCTGCTGCTGCAGTGTCAAGCAAGTGGCGGAATGGTTTTAGAGAATGGCACAGTGCAGGACTCAGCAGACTAGGTTGAGTGCGAGGAGATAGGATGTGTAAGGCTGGAGGTGTGAAGGAAGCCGAAGACGGCTTCCTGAGGATCTTTATAATAACAATATTTTGAATTAAGAGAGCCCTGGACCTGACCACGAGGCATCAGATCTTGCCAAAGGAGCAGTGGACAAAATATGAGGAGGGCAAATTCTACCTTGAACCTATCTGAAAGAGTTACTGGGAAAGAAAAGGGAAGGATGGGCAAAGAAGTAATCGCAGTTGAGATCTGTGGCTGTGCCTCATCTCAGGCATATTTTTATGAAGTTGTTTCAGCCTGAATCAATTTAAGAATTATTTGCTCTGCAGAGGCCTTGCTTTAAATAAATGTCTATTGTAACATTTATTTAAATGTTATTTTAAATAAACATTTAAAAAAGTAATAAAAATAGGTTCCACTCACCCACAAGCACTGTTAGAAATGACCAAGATGAAAGCAAATTAACCTTGTCTTAAACCATAACAGGTACATAGCACAAAGCCTAAAGCAATCCCGAAGGCCGCACAGACAGCTCTGGCTAACACTGCTCTTGCGAGGATGTAGGTGTGATTGTCAGCATCCACACTGGGGCTCCTTACCATGTGTAACTTCAGTTCCAGAGGATCTGACACCCTGATCTGACCTCCATAGCACCAGGCACACACATGGTGTTCAGACATGCATGGAAGGGAAGTACAAGTAAAAATATTTTTTTCCTTTCATTCTAGGGTATTTGTGCTTCAATTTAAAAATAAGAGAACACTCCAGCCATGGAAATAGGTAGGCTTAACTGCATGTAGGTCTTCACTTCTCCCTCCGCTGCTCCAAATCCAATCTCATCCCTAGCTCTGTAGCAGACTATAACAGGACCCCAGGTCTTAGCACAACTCACTCCATTCAGGCCATAAAACTCAGCACGTAGACGGCTCCACCTACCAAATGAGAGCGAAGACCTAATCCATCAAAGTCACAGTTCTTGGAAAGTGTCTAAAGGTACTAACCTTGCCTTTTGGCTTCTGTAGTTCTGCTCCTGGCTAACTGTTCTTGATAACTAAAGTATGTCAACCCAGAATATATTTTGCTGTGCTTAAAAGCTCACCCTGAGAAAGGTTTGGTGCCACACTGGGATCTCAAACACCCAGTGTAGTTGCCAGCTGGCCAATAAAGACTTTCTATTGGCTTAACCCATGCCTGAGTGGTCGTCTCTGGTGGATATTTCTGAAGGCCCCGGTGAGATCCTCAGAGACCGGAACTTGAGACACTAGGAGTCTCGGATCTCAGAGCGGGGAAGTGTGGTGGTCAAGGAGCTTCTGGGTGCACAACCTGCCATGTTCCAGGTCCCGGCACCCCCTTTGACCAATTGCTGCCTAACATTTCACCCTAAAAGGAAACGAATTAGAAACTCATCTGGTCTGTTACCTCTGGAGATAAGTCTGGTTTGGACACATACGCAGCAGCTAATGCAGTGTTGGGATCCATGTGGAATGTCCCTGGATTCCCTGTCTCGGGTATTTGAATGTTTGGTGGCCACCCCTGCTTATCTTTACTGTGTGTCTGTGTGTCTGTCTGTGGTTCTGTCAGTTCCACCCCTGGCTTAAGACCTATGCCCCCTCCTGTTGTGGCACTAGCCAAGAACTCCCCACTCCTAACAAAAAGCTCTCGCCAGCCCCACTCCTGGAGCGCATCCTGCTCACAGTCAAGCCCAGGTCAGCCCTGTGTGGAGGTAGGGAAGGGCTGGGCCTCCCATCCAGGCCCCCTGCCAGCTAAATGTGCACACAGGGAGGGGCTACTACTACCCGCATTAAGCAACCCCAGAGAAGCTGGGAAGCTCCCATATGCCATGCCCAGGAAGAAGAGAAAGTTTTACTCTTTTTTTTTTTTTTTCATGACTTAGGCCTTCTTTTCAACCAGAGATCTTTAAAACCCACTATTCTCTGAGGAAAAAAAAAAAAACTGACAAAACTCCTTAGAGTCTAGCAAAGGGCAGATAGACCTCCTTCCTTTGCTTTGCTTTGGGTACCCTGAGCCCCATAAAGGGAGGGATTTACCCCCTATAAGACAATGTTTGGAAGAGCTCCCCCTGCTTCCCAGGCTCAGGGAGCAGCAGTTGGCAGACCTCTCTAACCGTCCTTTCTCAAGTCACCATAGGCCCTCCAGTCCTCCATACGGGCTATTCACTGGACAATCTGAGAGACCCAGCTATTCACAGGGCTATCTGAGAGACGGGCTGACCTCTGAGTCCATCACCAGTTTCTGCTGGTTTGAGTCCACTGAGACCATCTGGGTCAAGCAGGTAGCCAAAGGGGACACTGGAACCAACTTGGAGAAGATGCTACCAGGAGATTCTCTCCTCTCCATTCCCACAGATCCACAACACACAGGTCAGGAAGCCGAAGCCACAGTCCTTAGTCAGATGGACTCTTCCCCAGACTATGGACCCACTAAATTAAGATTTTATCAGGCCCCTGGCCCTTCCACCTCCCCTCCACATATTACATTTGGTATGAATATAGGGTCTATCAATACCCACCCTCAGGTCCAGTCCTGGGTACCGAGGAAGACAGATACAGGGAAGGTATTAGCCAGTGTGGCTATAGACCAGCGACCCATATTCCATCTTGACCATACTTACTGACGGCCATATTGGGTAGTTGTTTTGGAGAAAGGAAAGATATGGAAGTTTATCTTTTGAGTTAAAAATACAGAGCTGATATATGCCCTATGGCTGGGCCACCTACTTAGTTCATCATTCCCAGCTGTAATCAGCAGGGCTTGTTGGTTACACTCAGACACCCAGCCCCTGTACTCATCGTGACCGGGAGCAGCCCAAATCAACATTGCAGGGCTTAAACCAGGGGCTAGAACGTGTCTAATATCCAAAACCTTTCATCTAGGCACTCTCCTTATTCTCATGCCTGCCGTTCTGCCTTGTGGGTTATTCATGTGGATAACAGCACTACTACTGAGCCCTTGAGACTACTTGGTGGGCATGTACTAATAGTTTACCTAAATGTGCTTCCTCTGATACTTTATATAATGAGGAACCTGGTCTAAAATAAAAGCTGTTCTAGAATAACTCCCCCCCCCCCGCCCCATAAGAAGTCCTATTAAGCTCGGGGGCTATTCAGCTGGCTGCTGCCCTTCTCCTACCGGCAGAGACAACCGCTCTCCTGGATTCCTCCCTTCCAAATAAATCTCTCTCTCTCTTTTTTTTTTAAAGATTTATTTATTTATTTATTATGTATACAACATTCCTTCCATGTATGCTTGCATGCCAGAAGAGGGCACCAGATCTCACTATAGATGGCTGTGAGCCACCATGTGGTTGCTGGGAATTGAACTCAGGACTTCTGGAAGAGCAGTCAGTGCTCTTATCCTCTGAGCCATCTCTCCAACCCCCAAATAAATCTCTTGAAAGAGTTTTGGGTGAAGACCTTTTGCCAGGGCAGAACAGAATCTCCCTGGGAAACTCTCTTTGCTGAGTGGAGCAGAAAAGCAATGAATACCTCTGCTGGGAAGCTCCTTGGGGGAGCGGAGCAGAAGTAACAACTTTTCCCCAGACCCAGAGCGGATTGCTACATCTTTGCAGGGGTGTGTGTCTTTGTGTCCCCCCCCCACCTCCAATAATAGAGGAGTAATGACTTGGGCATGAGTTGACCATCCCCCACCAGAACCCAGCATCAGGTACAACCTGACTTCTCAACAAGTCAGTACCCTTTCTCCTCACAGCTGTAGGTATCCAAGATAACTCCTACACAGCTGTAGGTATTGCCTGACTTCCAACAGTCACGGTACCCTTCCCTCCAGAACTGTAACACTTGCATTGACCACATGCTCAGTCATAAAGCAATAAATTAGATATAAAACTTTAGACTCACAAAAAATACTGTAACTGTAATTCTTGCTTGATACCTATTTTGTTATATGTAATTTTACTATGTTAAGGTTAAAAGCCTTGGTTTTTATTTAGACAGAAAAGGGAAGATGATGTGGGATTCCCCTCTATATGCTGTGAATATGTTTTATTACCATTGGTTAATAAAGAAGCTGCTTTGGCCCATGGCAGGGGAGAATAAAGCCAGGCGGGAAATGTTATGGGACAATGGTCTTTTATCCTGTCACTTATATTATTTTTAATAAAACACTGATTGACCAGTAGCCAGTATAGTATAGGCGAGGCAAACAGGCAGGAAGTATAGGTGGGACAATGAGAACAGGAGAATTCTGGGAAGAGGAAAAGTCAGTCTGAAGTCGTCACCCAGAGACAGAGGAAGCCAGACACAGAGCAAGCAAGATGTGACTGCCTCACCAACAAAGTACCAAGCCATGTGGCTAATGCAGACAAGAATTATGGGCTAATATAAGTTATTAGGGTTAATAAGAAGCCTCAGCTAATGGGCCAATCAGTTTATAATTAATGTAGACCTCTGTGTGTTTCTTTGGTACTGAATGACTGCAGGACTGGGTAGGAAAGAAGCCCCTGTCAACAGGGAAATCGGAACAGAGATATAAAGAGAGAGTAGGTGTAGTTAAGAAGATGCTGTGTAGGGCTGGAGAGATGGCTCAGTGGTTTAGAGCACCATATGCTCTTCCAGAGGTCCTGAGTTCCA